GGGGATTTAAATTGCATTTAGCTTTTGAAGCGATATTCTTAATGTAAGTTTGATATATTGTTGGCCTGTACTCTCACAATATTTGCTTTTGAGTCTAGTGATTGTCTAACGTATTCTTCGAAATTGGTCTTCATGGTTTTTCCTCTCTTTCCCTACTTCATTAGTTACGCATTTTTGTAGTTTCGTCGCGTTAGCACGTCTTCAAATTCATCATATAAGGCAACATTTCTTCACTTGTATTTTTCGAATGAGAAAATGCGCACCAAAATGGGATTGAAATTCGACTTATTATTTGAGGGAAAAATCAAATAAAAATAAAGAGAGAAAAATAATGTGCATAATTCATTTCTATGCAACTTTACTCTTTCCATTCTTCAGGGCATATTGAGCTGTATTTTCTTTGTAAAGAGAAAGACTTACATGTCACTGTTTTACCATCACATAATGTTTACACATATGTTATAATTATTATAACATATATGTTCATTTTTCTCTACATATTTTTATGAAGTAAATTGTAGCAATGGTCCTTTAATTTTAACTCAATTAGAACAATGGTCAATCAACTAAAAATTCATTATCATTAGTCCATCAACTTATCAAAACGTGCAGTTATAGTCTCTTAATTTAAAATTCGTTACTATTTGTCCCTCAACTTTAATCTAACTGGAGAAATGGTCCTTCAACTTTAACCCAATTGAATCAATGGTCCATCAATTTTAACCCAATTGTAGCAATGGTCCCTCCAACGTAACTCATTTTGACAGAATTTTAATGAAGAAAATGACCATAGTTACACGTTTTGTTGAGTTGAGCGGGACCTCAATTGTAGCAATGGTCATTCCAATATAACTTATTTTAACAAAATTCTAACGAAGTTGACGAAAATAAATATAACTACACATTTTGATGAGTTGAGGAACCAATGGTAATAGATTGTTAGTTAAGTGATCATTGTTCCAATTTGATAAAAATTAAGAGATTATTACTACAATTTATTCTATTTTTATGGTGTTGATAGGCCACCGGTGAACCCGTACAAGTTTGTTCTCCTTTGGAAAAGCCATACGTGATTGGGTAGCTAAACGTCACACATGACCAACAATAAGCTGCAGAAATTAAGTTGCAGTTGCAGCTATCGATATGGGCAATAGCTTCAAAGCCACATGTAGTGCTGTCAATAGTCTGGCAGCTGACTCATCTGCATGCACATGCCTCTGCCATTTATGACTATTAAGATGATGATTGCTGATTTCCAACTCACATATATACTACATGCCCCATATCTCTACCACCACCCTTCCCAATATTTCAGATTTTTCGTTGTTGGTTAAGAACATCACTGCATGCATTATATAGAGAGCTTGGATCTATCTTTCATGATTTCTTGGATCAATATAAAACAACTGCATAGACACTGGATTTCATCCTCCATACGTTCTTAAAAAATAAAACTAAAAAGCAAAGGTTCATTTTGGTTCTGGTTCCTTATCAAATTAATTATTAGATTGAAATCTTATTTGTTTAAATATTTTGATTGAAGTCCTTAGCATCAGTTAAGATATTTAACTCATGCATTTATGCATTTAATGTCCCTCAAATTATGAAATTTAATCAAATTTAAATAATATTTTTAAAATATAATAAATACTTAAAAATCAATAATAGAATAATATTGTTATTAAAAAAATATAGCAAAAAATAACGTACCCACCTAATTATTAACATATTTTAAAAAATAACTACTGATATAACTTAACACATAAAATAAATACATATAATTAGCATGGGTACATTTAGCAAAATTAAAAATGGGTACAAATACAAATAAAAGTTTAAAATATATGGGCACAAAAAGAAATTTATATATGAATACAAATTAAAACTGGAAATAAAATTGGTACAAATTAAAAAATCATTGCAAATGAAAAATGGGTACAAACTAAAGATAAAAATATACGATAAAAAATTTAGCCATAAATATAAATATATTAAATGTAATGTTTCTAACACTAAATGAATGTATTTAGAAATAAAAAAATTATTATTCAATAATTAATAGCGTTTATTAAAACCTAAGGACCTTAATCAAAAATTGAAAATGAATAAGGTTTTAATCAATGGAGTAGCAAAAAGAGGGATGTGAATCTAATTTCTCCAAAGCAAAACCTAAAAACTAAAACGATAAGCAAAACGATTATCAAACTGCTTGTGATTTAGCATATGTTTAAACTATGAAAAGTCACTTAATCATGAATAGGGATGACAACGGGGTGGATTGGATTCAGATGTGCTATTCCCATACCCGAACCCATTTATTTTCCCCAAACCCGAACTCATAGAATCCCCGAACGAATTTTCCTTATAACTAAATCCGTCAGGTGATGGATTTTTTATCAGGGAATGGTTTTCCCAATTATGATATTTATATATTTATTTATATTATTTCTAAATGAAGAATAATAAATAAATTGCTATTATTAATACAATTGATACAATGCATCTAATAAGTAATATTAAAATTTTATATTACTAAGAAAATATTTATACTCTTGAAAATTATAAGCATATAATTCCTATTATTAATGATATAAAAGTAACTAATTAATTTCATATTTAATAATGCATGATTATTAACAAACCCTTTTCATATAATAAATATTTATATTTTTTTTATTCATAGATGAAATGGTTCAATTTCGGGTTTGGGTTTGCGGCATATACCCCAATAACCATAACCAAACCTGAAACCGAAAAATTTACCCGACGATTACCCATAACTATAAAATACCTAAAATTTTATGCCCAAAACCGAACCATTCGGATCGATTATTTACAGGGATCGGATTTGACGGGTTAAATTGCCATCCTTAATCATGAACGCTACAAAAACCGTACATTGAAAAATAAAAATAGTTTTGTAGTCAGTTTTTTTTTTTAAGAGAAACGATAGCATTTTATTGAGAAATCATAATTCAAACAACATCAGAGAGGTCCTCCATAATCAAGTCTGGAGGCTCCTCGTACCAACAAAAATCAATAGAAGAAGAAACAGCCAACTTGGCTATACCATGTGCCGCAACATTAGCAATGCGACGCACATAACAAACCTGTGAGTCCACAAAGGCTTGCAAAAAAGCATGGATATCATCCACCAGAAGATCCATAAGTGAAGACCCCTGGACGCAGTTACCAATAGCTTGAACCACCTGCGATGAATCACTCTCCACAATAATTCGAGCCAAATTCTGATCCACAACCCAACGATCACCCTTGCGAACAGCCAGCAATTCCACCATATTAGGGTTCAATGCAGGGGATATTTTACGAACAAATCATCCAGCTTTGTCACGAAATACCGCACCTACACCTCCCATATTGGATCTAATAAGAAAAGAACCATCAACGTTGACTTTCACCCACCCAACTGGGGGGGGGGGCTCCAACGCGACAGTGCTTGAAGGGGGCGGGAAGTGAAACCGTGTTTGGCTTTCACAAACTCAACCAGCTACAACTTAGCAAGATGAGAGACCAAAGACAAATTACTCACTTTGTTCTCCCAAAGCAGCAAGTTCCTAGCACGCCAGATTCCTTGAAAAGTCATGAACAATAAATCCACTTGGCCTTTGGATAAATGGTCCACACATAGTGACAGCCAATCACACATTGAACCTTGACCTGAGAGCCTTAAACCCAATCTCAACTAAGAGGAAACATATACCGCACGAGCGAATGGACAATCATTGAACACATGTAGCGCCGACTCCGAAGAGGAACTACAAAACAAACATATGTTGTCCACAACTACTCCCTTGGTTTCCAAATTAACACGAGTATGCAAAATATCTCAGTAAGCCCTCCAACTACACATATTTTCCCTCCAACTACACATCTTTGCTTTACCCGGTATAGCTGCCCTCCCTATAACTTTCCACACCAAAGCGCCCCTCGAATTCGACTGCGAAGATGAATCCTCAAAGCAACAATTAAAAGCAACTTTATAAGCACTCCTTACAAAGAACAAACCTTTCGCATCATAATGCCATATTAACTTATCAGACGGAAGCCTGTAGCTCAACGGAGTAGCAAGAATCATTGCAACCTCATCAAGAGGAAATAAGTCAGTGACAAAGTTGATGTTCCAAGATGCCGTTTCCACAACAATCAAATCAGCCACATACTCCACTCCAACAACTGGAGAAAAAGGCATGAGAGGTTGAAAGAGATGAGGACGATCAAGCCACCGATCATGCCATATCCTAATCGAACTGCCATTCCTCACCCGCCAACGAGACCCATTTTCCAGAATTGATCGTGCTTCCAAAATGCCCCTCCAACACACTGACGGGGAAGATCCAAGTGACGCCTGCCAAAAAGTATTATGAGGAAAGTACTTGGCCTTTAACAGTTGAGACGCCAAGGAATCTGGATTCTGAACCAACCGCCACCCTTGCTTGGCAAGGAGCGCAAGATTGAAGTCATATAACGACCGAAGGCCAAGACCACCCTTCTTCTTGGAACGGCACATATTTTCCCATGAAATCCAATTGATACGAACTCTAATATCATTTTCTTCATGTAATATCACGTAAAACGTGTTTGCCATATCAAACTCATGTTACTGCTAGCTGTGAGTTTGATACTAACTTGATCAGTTTGTTACTCATACTTAGCGAATCATGTAATGTTTTGTATTCTCGTTGAGCAATCAGTAAGTTAAACTCAAAACTTCATAAAGAATTGAAATCGAGTTGTTGCATAAACATGTCAAAAAGGAAAGTGATGTACACAAGCCTATTAATTTGTAACTGTTAAATTGAATAATAAAAGAACGTTAATAGATATAAAAAAACAAAAATTATAGAAATCTAAAAAAATTGTGGAATATCATTTCCCATAAAAAATTCACTCCTAAAACCAATGGTTTCTCTTCTTTCTATGGAGAAACAATGGGCAAGCCATCTGATCGTTGGACCCCATTCCAAATTGGGCCATATAATTGAACAAAAAAGTACAGTACATAGCAAGGTACAAGTTGTCCATAAAAAATCAGGCTGCTCTGCTCTCTCTATATAAACACCCACAAATAAACCATTACATCAACACTATCAAGTCTCAAGGAAATGCTCTCAATTTCTTATCGTGTACAATTTCAGTTTGCTCTACTAAGTTAAATGGGCATTCGTGTAGCAGACATTGTTCTTCATCATGCTAAGCAAATTGTCCGAAGACATAAGAGGTCTCAACATTTCAAGTACCATTTCTTATATACACCACTTGCATCGACAATAACAGCAACAACAACGTTGGATGTTCCGAAAGGCTGTTTTGCGGTTTATGTCGGAGAGGAAGACGAGGAGAAGAAGCGGTTTGTGATTCCGGTTTCCTACTTGAACCACCCTTCATTCCAAGATTTGTTGAGTCAGGCTGCCGAAGAGTTTGGTTTTGATCATCAAGTGGGTGGCCTTAGAATTCCTTGCAGTGAAAGGCATTTTACGGACCTCACTTTCCGTTTAAATATTAGATAAGTTCTGAGACTATATAGGAAGTTAATTATTGCCTTAGTTCATAGTTCTGTAAATGGTAGAAGAATGTCATATGTACATTTAATACCTTTGCTCGTCACTCTTAATTCAGTAGTAGTTCTTAACTTGTTGCTCTAGACCATATACAAAGTGGTGTACACGAGTTTTCCATAGTGTGAGTAAGACCAAACTATCACTTAAGGATATATATGTGTCGACATATAAGTGTATGGACTGATGTTATTATTAGACTTAATATTGTTTAAACTAGTATTAAACATTATATGAAGCAAAGTAATGAACTCAAATTTGAAATAAGAGGCAGTTATAGCCTCATGAAAGTGAAAAGTGTTAGCGAGATTCTCTCATCTCTTCAAATCTATCCGCAATCTCCTAGATTACGTTAAATATATAAAGTTGTATATGACTAGTCTTGGTGCGCACTCCAAACAATTTACAGATTAGATAGAGTTTTTTGATATTGTCAATTTACAAATTTTGGTTTTTAATGATAAATACTTAGTAATTACTCTATTGTGTACGTGTACTCTATCTAATCTGTAAATTGACAATTAATCAATACAAGAAAATATAATTTCACATGGTATCATCCTAGGTCTAGGTTCTTTCTCCTGAATAACCCTAGCCGATCCTCCTCCTTCACGCCAAAAAAAGTGGGTAGACTGGATCTAGAGTTTTAAGTGTGACAAAAAAGGATTAATGTTCATTGAATTTGTCACAAATTGATGAATTTGCAAATCATTTTTTAATATTTTCTGCAGGATTTAACTTGCTCGTATTAACATTGAGAAACTGAATGGCAATAACTTTAAGTCTTGGAAGCAGGGAATTGAAATCCATCTGGGATGTGAGAGTTCAATATTGCTTTCAATCAATCTCAGTCGTCTGCCTTAACTGAAGAAAGTACTGCTGCAGGAAGGGAGGTCTTCGCGAAATGGGAAAGAGCCAACCAAATTTTCGTTGATCATGGAAATGCAATGGAAGCACATGTAAGAGTGGCATTCCAAGCTGTGATTTGGCAAAGCAGTACATAACCAAGGGCTAGTTTGATATTGATGTGCTTGAAAAAAATTTCTACTGTGCTGTGAAATAAAGTATCAAAATGTTTAGAAAACTATAGTTGTTAATGTGTTTTTAGCAACAAAGAAAAAAAAAACAGTGTTTGGGTTTGGTAAATTTTATGTAAAATAGTTAGAACCTTATAAAATGATCCAAAATGGTATAATCCTGGACGTGCTATTACTTTAATTGTTTGGCAAATAAATGTCAATTATTAAATATACTTTTAAAAAATATTATATCTTAATTTAAACCCATCTCTAATATTAAAATATTAGAATATTACAAACTTGGTAGCTAGGATTCTTTAGCACAACACTACTATACACTTGAAATACCATCAATCAACTGATACACTTCAAATATAAAAACAATCCAAAAGTTGTTTCAATAACAAAGTAGTCTAATTAGATGCATTCATCAAACTTAAGACTATGTTATTTCTTAATGCTTCTATCTCATGTGGTCGTTTAGCTTGATAATTATGGTATTCTTCATCAGTATCTTTATCACTTTCTTCAGAAAAATCATTAGGGTCATCAATATGACGATCACGTTTAGAATGCCTTCATATGTAGTTATGAAGAGTCATTGTAGCAATCAAATTTGGTTGAAATTTTCATACAAGAGGAAGGACGTGAGCTGGTAGAACACGACCTGGGAGACGAGAGAGATCGCTTGGAGAAGGGACGCCCCAAATTTCAAATTTGGTTCTTGCAAGACTGATGGCGTACAATAAAGAGAGAAAGGATGGCATGCATGGAAATTTGAAAATTTCATTTCATGGGTACTATTCACCTGTGTTATTATGAGACAAAAAAGCTAGCTTTCTGAAGCCCCTTTCGCTGCTTTAGCTTTTTGGTTTTTTTCTTTCATCTAAAATTTTGAAAAATACAAGGAGATTATCTTTTTAGACCATACTTTGTAACTAAATAATGTAGTGGTTGATGGTTGAAATTTTATTTTTAATGAATTAAAGAAAGAATTCAACCATCAATGGTCACAACTTGTGGTCTACAAATATGATAAAAAAACAAATGACCTTTCTATCATCACCCTTATTTTATACTATTTGTAAATATAGAGTTTGGTCGACAGTGATTTTTGTTTTTCTTTTTAATTTTCACATTTTATATATCTATGATACGAGGAAAGCATATATGAGAAATGAAAGATGAAAGAAGGGTGGTGGGAGATAAAAGAATACATAATTAAAGAAGAATTATGAAGAGAAATAAAATTTTGAATGTTTGTACATCAAATCAAATATGAGTTCAAAAAAGGTTGTATGAAAATCACTTCCATGATATATGCACTTGCATGATTGGATATATAAATTCTGGATTAGTCTATACAGAATGGAGCTTTAGAAAGGCATGATTTCATTGTGTTGATGCACAAAATCAGTGAGGACTTTGGTACAACAGAAAGTGTTAAGTTTGTGATCTTCGCTAGATTGCTCCGGTCACTAATGTGGATAAGTATGTAAATGGATAGGGGCAGGGAAGCAAACACAAGATGTACGTGGTTCACCCAGATTGGCTACGTCCATGGAGTAGATGAGTTCTCATTAATTGTGAAGGGTTTACACAAGTATATAGGTTCAAGCTCTCCTTTAGTGAGTACTAGTGAATGATTTAGTACAAATGACATTCGGAAATATTGTGAGAGAATGATCTCTATTTATAGAAGAGAGTTTCTAGTTTCATTCTGACATTGACACGTGTCGTGTTGTGATTGGCTTCTGATGTTGACACATGTCGCGCTATGATCGGCTTCTGTTGTCGACACGTGTCGCACTGTGATTAGCCTCCTGGTTGGAGGAAACTCTTTTGAATCCTTGACGGTATAACATTGACAAGTGCTCAATAGTTTCGGGATTGGTCAAGTATGGTACAAACAGTGCTCCCCTAAGTTCTCGAGTAAGGGAAGTTCCTCGGTGGGGACTTGCAAGATCCAAGCCATTGAGTAATCACGAAACTTCTAAGTACCGAAGTGTGGTATCATTTTCACTTGCTTTATCTGTCTCATATGTAGATGTGGCATCTTCTCTGGAAGTACTTTTCCTCCATCTAGGGGTGGTATCTTTAACCGATGAAGATGCACAAGGTAATGTATCAATTTCACTTAAAGCTTACTTGTAGTTTCGGGCTTGGTCAAGTGCGATACAAACCCTATAGTAAGAGTCCTCCAAGTCGCCGAGCTAGGAAATTTGCCGAATGAGGTAACAGACAAGGTAAGCAATCAGACTTCCAAGCAAGCAATCTGGATCAGAGGTTCGACTTCGGCTTCCGGTTGATTGTTCTCATTCTCCTTGTGTCGTAAACAGCAACAAGGATAAGGAGAAGCAAATGGAGAATAGATGATATGAGATACTTTTGCTTTTGAAGAAGTAACTTTCCACAGGCTTATTCTTGAACTGGGCTGGAAGGTTTTCTGGTTTCTTCCAGAGTATAAGGCTGACTCAAGAATTTGAGGGTCAAAACAAGTCTATCAAATCTAGAGTACGTTCGACCCTGATAATATAGGATACTTTTGTTGTTGACAAAGTAGTGGATGTATCGGCACGTGTTCCGTTATGTTTGTCTCCACATGTTTCCTTGTATCCTTCTCACTTGCCCTATATGTTCCTCAGGCAGATATGGTATCTTCTCTGGAAGTATAAGATGTTGAAGATGAGTACTCGAGAGCAATGCCAGATAAGTAATCAGGCAAGGGGTTCCAGGCAGTCAGTTCCTGACTGGAAGCTTGATTCCAAGTGCCGGCTGATTGCTCTATTTCTCCTTGTCTTGCAAGTAAGAACAAGGCCAAATGAAAAGATAGGGAAAAAGAATGATATGAGATACTCTTGCTTTTAACCCTGATGATATGAGATACTCTTGCTCTAGTATGGCTTGTTTGCAGAGGTATTATCGGGAGGAAAAAAAGCTGAGTATTTCGAGAGACTCTACTAAGAGTGCCCTCTCAGATGTGAAGAAAAGTTGAGCATTTTTTTTTTATTTGCAGGTCTGCCTGGCTATGGAGGATGGAGGTTGACATATATAAAAGTCTCCCTAACAACAAGTAGTAATGTTATTCCTTTACCCTTCTTAGTCATAGCAATGTAATGGGAGCTGCAAGCTTCACGTGTTTTAACTTTGTCAGAGCACTTTGAAAAAATGGTCTGTGGTATCTGGAAAGCTGATGTTGCGTGTGAAGATTGCAGACAAGCTTTATCCAAGGAAATTTGGCTCTCGAAGTTCGGAGAGCGATGCCTCTTCGATTTTCGAACAAGCAATCCTATTAGGGATCTGGCTCTTGAGATTCAGAGAACAGTGCCTCTTCGATTTTTGAGTAAGCAATCATGTTGGGAGTCTGACTCTTGAGATTCGGAGAGCAGTGCTTCTTCGATTTTTGAGAAAGTAATCCTGTTGGGAATCTGGCTCTCGAGATTCGGAGGGCGGTGCCTCTTCGATTTTTGAGCATGTAATCCTGTTGGGAGTCTGGCTCTCGAGATTCGGAGAGCAGTGTCTTTTCGATTTTTGAGAAAGTAATCCTGTTGGGAGTCTAATTCTCGAGATTCGGAGGGCGGTGCCTCTTCGATTTTTGAGCACGTAATCCTGTTGGGAGTTTGGCTCTTGAGATTCAGAGAGCGGTGCCTCTTCAATTTTTGAGCAAGAAATCTTGTTGGGAGTGTTTTCTCAAATGTGAGTAAAGGTTTGGCACTTTTGCCAATCTGCCTTGCCACGGAGCACGGAGGTTGACACACATTGGGACTTTCTAGTTATCAAGCAATGGTGTTGTTCCTTTACCCTTGTGGGTAATAGTAGGGTAGTTGGACCTTCAAAATTTATGTGTCTAAACTTTATCAGAGATCTTTGGCAAAGTTATCTGTGGTACCCGAGGAGCTGATGTTGCGTGTGGAAAGTGGTGCCTCTTCGGAATCCGAAGAGTGGTGCCTCTTCGATTTTTTAACCAACGGCCCTGTTGCCTTTTCTTTTATAAGGGCACCAATTGTGTGCAAGAAGTACATTCAGAGAGTTATTGCTTGTAGGAATTTTCCCCTTACTTCAGAGATTTATTGCACCTCATTACTCCTTCATCATTTCTGAGAATGTCTGGCTCATCCGACCGTCGTTTTGACTTGAACTTTGGTGAAGAGGCAACCATGCCTTCTCAAGACAACGTATGACGCCCATCCTTCTTATCCCCTACTAGTCATCTT